TGAGGTATATTTAACTAAAAAAATTACTTTTATTATTATTAATATTTTTTATTTATTTAAATAAATAATTTTTATTTTTGAAATTATCATCATTATTTATTGATTTTTATTCAAACTAAAATTTTTTATATTTTAACTTAATTTTCATTTAAATTTTTAATTATTTATTTATTATTCATTTTTTATTATTTTTCTTTTTTTTTTGTTCTTTCTTTGTTAATTTAGCTCATCATTTTATTTTCAACTTTTGCTTTTATTATTTATTTCTTATTATTTCATATTTTTTCTTAATTTTTTCCTTCTAATTAACTATTTAATGATACATTTTTTCTTCAATATTTAAAAAGTGAAAATTAAATTGGTGATGAAGGTGCATCACGCTTAGGTTGTGCTTTAGCAAATTGCATTAATCTCTCAAATTTGACACTTGAGCTTAGGTAAAAACAGTTTATTTGTTTTGGATTATGATATTTTTAACTATAAAAACTAATTAAAAACAATAAAGCTCTTTTTTCTGTTTCTTTTTATTGTGCTTGCTTTTTTTTGTTCTTTCTTTGTTAATTTAGCTCATCATTTTATTTTCAACTTTTGCTTTTATTATTTATTTCTTATTATTTCATATTTTTTCTTCATTTTTTCCTTCTAATAAACTATTTAATGATATATTTTTTCTTCAATATTAAAAAAGGTCTAATTAAATTGGTGCAATTGGTGCATTAGGCTTAGGTTCTGCTTTAGCAAATTGCATTAATCTCTCAAATTTGACACTTTCCCTTTAGTAAAAACAGTTTATTTGTTTTGGATTGTGATATTTTTAATTATAAAAACTAATTAAAAACAATTAAGCTCTTTTTTCTGTTTCTTTTTATTGTGCTTGCTTTTTTTTGTTCTTTCTTTGTTAATTTAGCTCATCATTTTATTTTCAACTTTTACTTTTATTATTAATAAATTAATCTTATTTTTTCATATTTTTTCTTCATTTTTTCCTTCTAATAAACTATTTAATGATATATTTTTTCTTCAATATTAAAAAAGGTCTAATTAAATTGGTGCAGAATAGAAGAATAGAATAGAAATACTCGCACATATAAATGCACTCAGAATACATCTTAAAATTAATTATATTTTATTTTATTTTATTTTTTTTTCATTATAATTTTTTATATATTTTTCTTTATATTATTATGTATTTATTAAGTGTTTTTATTTTTTCTTTTTCATTTTATATGCTTTACATATGAATTTAAGAAATTTCATATTTTACAGTCTAAGTTCACTAAGCTTATTTTCAACTTTTCATTTTATTATTTATTTCTTAATATTTCATATTTTTTCCTTCTAATTAACTAGTTAATAATATATTTTTTCTTCAATATTTAAAAAGTGGAAATTAAATTGGTACAATTGGTGCATCAGGCTTAGGTTGTGCTTTAGCAAATTGCATTAATCTCTCAAATTTGACACTTCTGCTTAGGTAAAAACAGTTTATTTGTTTTGGATTGTGAAATTTTCAACTATAAAAATGAATATAAAACAAAAAAGCTCTTTGAATTTATTTGATAGCTTTATTTATTTAATTTTTCATCTTTTTTATTCCACTAATATAATTTTATTAATTAATTTTAAAGAATAATTTTTCATTTAAAAGTTTATTCTATTTTGATATTTATTTTAAAATTTACACAAATTTATTATAAAATGTTTAGCTCAATGAATGAATCATAAGAACTCAAGGTAAAAAGCAAGTGTCTTAAATCAAAAAGATTAGTTGTCTTTGATTTCTAATGAAACAATTGGTGAAAAAAGGATGAATAAATATACAATGTTTGAATAGTAATATATATTTTATTATAAAATATGTTGAAAAGGTGTTTTTAACCTAAAATATAAATAGATATATAGATTTTATTATTGATTTTATATTATAAATATCATTCATATTTTTATAAGTAAATAAATTATTTATAAAAAATAAAAAAATCAAATTTACTTAAATAAATT